GTATCCAATGGCAGAGGGCACGAGGGTTCCACTTCTGTTCCAGCTCCAGCTTCTTGGCTGCCGCTGCCAGCTTGTCTCCCAAGCTTGTCTCCCTTCATGATTTCGCTCTTGGCTGCCGCTGCCGGCTTGTCTCCCAAGCTTGTCTCCCTCCGGCTTGTCTCCCTTCATCACTTCGCTGGTGGTGGCTGGCGCTGCCGGCTGGGGTCCCCAAGCCTGTCCCCCCTTCATAACTTCGCTCTTGGTCCCTGAGAAAACTGGCCAGCCCCCAGATTTGCTAAATGTACAGGATGTTATGTGCGGGGGTGAAGGCTGAAGTGGGGTGAGGGTGGAATCCTGCCCGCAGTGGAGCGGTAAACAACAGTATCAACCTGGATCGGCTTACAGACTAGCAAGCCTCACAAGAGCCTGCGAGCGAAGGTGTGCATGCTGACAGAGTCTCAATTGGACTCGGATGTTGGTGATTCACTTTGGAAGGAATCAGTGCCCGTCGCATCCTGGGTTGATATGCAGCACTGCATCCAATTCTCTTCCTTTTGTTCGGCCGAGCGACCAAGCGAAGGATACCGTAGGCAAAAGGCACAAGAAAGAACACCTGAAACGCCTGAAACGTGGGCAAAACGATTTCCTCTTGCAGGATTTGCAAGGTCCATTACCCAAAGTCCAAGAGTTTCCAAGGTGTCAATTTTCGTCATTGACACAGCTCCTACAATGAACTCAATCTCTGGTGAATCCGAGTTGCTCAATGACTTCAATCTCCCAACTGGAGGACATGATTGAGGAATGCACAGGCATTGAGGAATCCATGCTTAAGTCAGACCCGAGACTCGGAAAGCTACGTTCACCCGTAGACACATGAGACACATTTCTTTGCTGCGTGAGGGGAAATGTGTTTTGCAGGCATACAGCTCATGAGGACTTCGCATGGAAGCTGCATCTCTCATCATTGGGAAACGCATGTATGAGACTCGCTGAAAGATTGAAGTACTTATAGTTGCATCTCATCATGATAGCCTAGTAGGCACTTGAATTGAGGGACTTCACAATCCGGATTGAACAAAAGCAAGAGCTTCTGCGAGCCCAATGCTTGAGATAACAATCAGGCTCAACGTATCAATACAGAAAACTGCCCATCACCCAC